AAAATTTGTTGAAAAAAAATCCGCAATAATTATGCATCAACCTAATATTTAGGGTAAAAAAACATCGCTGTTACGGATCAATTTCTTTGGTAACCAGCAATGATGAATAAAGACTTCTCCCGTTTTTTGGCGAACCCACCTTCTTCGGTGAGCCCTTAAAGGCAGTCACAATGCTTACACTACGATGAAGCCAATATTTTTCGCACAACACTTCGAAAGTAATCGAAGGCTCTGAAGAAGTTTTGGAAAAACCGTTGCTTCAAGCTTTGAGGAAATATCCAGTAGCTATGTAAAGTCACACACAACCAATTGATCAAAAATAATCGAGTGTTAGTAAACGAGCTTTTCCTGATCTATCAAACAGCATTTTCCTTTTTGGTTTGGGCTGAAGAAGCTCGAACTTTCTAGTCGCAGCCGAAAGACATCACCACAGAGTTATGAGGCAGAGTTAGCCAGCTCCGAGTACTTGTAGTTCGGCGTCCATGTGCGGCCAGTAGCTCGGCCCTCGGAAGGCTCGCTCTCCCTTAATCTGTTACTTCCCTAGAAGTAATTGGAATTTTGAAAAGAGACTTTTCTGATTTTTAGACTCGTTGGAAGTTTCAAACCCTTATTTTTGGCATTTGTGATTAAAAAAGGAAGTCAATTTAATTCCCGCTTTTAATTGCAGGGACGATTTGAATACAAAGGTTTGGAAAGAACATTTTTGGCATATTTTAGTTTCGACCTCCATAGCGGTGAAAGAGCTGCTGATGTTTTTATGAGTATATGTAAGATACATATAAGGTGACAGTGCCACATCACAGAGCACACATGTGGAAATAACTATACAAATTTCNTTCAAGCTCTGAACGAAATGAATGTGTGCCCCGTGGCCCTCGAGCTGGGACGATCCGTTGGACTACACTAGTTGAGAGCGCAACGTATTAGTAGTGAAAACTGTAATGTTACGGGCATGATCAAGACTGGATGAACTTTCTCAAATAAGGCCTAGAACGATCGTCAACAGAGAAAAGCCTTGCTGTCAGTTTGGTGGACTTACAACGGTGTATCCTTTTGAAATGCTTCCAGGGAGCTCTTGCGCGTGAAATCATATGAAACAGCCCAAAAAACACACATATCTTTGGTGAATCAGAAAACTTTATTGGAACTTATTTGAAGAATAATGTTGCGTCCACCATATAGCACTAATCTCACGCCATCCAACCAGCACTTATCGCGGTTGCTGCGGATCTTCTCAAATGGGATACCTTCACCGAGGATTAGAATATCAAATTCTAATATGACCGTTTTTTGTAAGAAAAGAACAATTCAACGAAAGAGGAGTTATGGTGTTGCCAGAAAGATGGCGCAAGATAATTGAACAAAGTGAAGAATAGTATAATTGACCAATGTCAAGTCACTGAGAAATTTTTTTGGAAGGCTCAAAAATGGTGACTACTTTTCGTGATCATAATCTAGTGTAATCGCTAATGTTAGCCAGTCCCTAGATTCGAGTTGCGCTTAGTCCTAACGTCAGGGTAGATCGGGGACACCGCAGCTCACGCTGAGGAACTCAAGAATGGGCGGACATAACATGCCATTCATAATTATGATTATGATTATTATGACAGACTGGTATTATCGGGATGTGGAACGAGCCCCAGCACGTCCTCAAGCGCGGCGGTCAGACTTCTCCATGGAAGTTTTGAATGAAAGGAACGCTATGCGCCGTTTCCTTCAATCTAAGGCGATCCACTGCTTTGGCAAAGAGACAAGTGGAGACGTTATGGGCCTCGGGATATCGATGATCAACGGGACGACAGGGAGTACATTCCAACCTGACAATACACACCGCCTGCACTATCTGAATTTATCTCAACAGCAAAAAGCAACCTTTTGCACGATAAACAACGAAACGAGGTTCTTGTGATTTTTACCATTAACCAACAATGTTGTCAACAGTTCTAGTACTCTTTGTCTTTGGCGCTGGTGAGCGTGATATCTGAGCACGAAGGCAGATGAAAATTTAAGGACACCGTTCGCGATAAAAATGATTACTGAATTCTCCCCTAGGGATACCCAGTGGCCTACAAGGGTAATAGGAAGGACCCTTTCGCGCCCAAAACTCGACGGTTAGAGCATAGAGGAAGCCCTGTTCCCGGCTTACCCGGGCTGCCCTCCCCTGACCGATGTCACGTCAGAATTAATGTGGAAGTAGTACAGATTGCAAGTATTCGTTGTCGTAGATTGTCAGACAGAACCCACCGTTCAGCACGAAATCAGCCGATCGCTCAGTGATGAGGCGATATTCCACTGCTTTTCTACTTTTCTTCAGTATTCTTATAGCTATTACTCATGTTCTTCTAAGTTCCTAGCGTACAAAGATTGAAAAGGTGAGTCATTTTGGCTTTTAGTAGTTTTTTTGTGCTGTGATTGCTCTGATTTTGAATGTATCTGTTGTAATTGTTTTGTTTTTTTTTTCGTTGACAGCAATTTCTGCGGAGCAATTACTATTCTTCTTAAATGCAAGAACATTTAGACATTGTATTGAAGTATTCTGAGCCATTTTGAATTTTTTCGCATGCATTCCGCGCCCATTGGATGGGGCCCTTTTTTTGGTGGATTACATTTGAAGTTACTCTTTTTGGTTTACATTCTGCTCATTATGGTATCGTTGATGTGTTCTTCTTGACTGCTTAGAGCACTCTTTGATCCTATATTGAAGTTATATTTCTTCTGAAATGCGCATTTCCATGGCCACGTCGAAATTCCCAGTGCCTGGTGAGTTTTGTACGAAATTTTTTACATGTTACTCTTTTTCTTTTATATAACCCCAGTTATAATGTCATTTAAGTTTTCCTATTGGATGTCACAAATACTGTTTGGCCTTGTATTGAGAACTGTTTTTTCTTTTTAATTAATTTTTTGCATGCATAACCCGTGTGACTCCTCGTACCACGTGATTTGTCAGCGTTGTGTTAGGTGTTTTGCTCCTTACTTTCTCTTTCTTTCATTTTCTTTATTACGGTGTAGTTGATGTGCTTTTGTATAATATCACTGTACGACGCAGTTTTGAAGAAGCATGCTCGGTTTGGACTTGGTCTCTCACAGCATATCGCGAGCTTCTCGCGGACTATCTACAGTGGAGAGTATATATAGATATCTTTTATTGCTGCTTTCCTTCCTTTCTTATTCTTCATTACTGGTTCATTGCCGTGTTCTTGTATGCTGTCAAGATCATTCTATGACTCTGTTTTGGAGGAATATGTTCGATTTGAGCCTGATTTCTTTCAGAACTCCCCGAATGTCTCTGTCTATCAGAACTCCCCGAATCTCTTTGTCTATCGTTGTGAGTTCCGCTTTTTTACATGATCTTCACTACGGTGTCGTTGATGTGCTCTTGAATAATTTCATGATCACTCTTAGATTCCGTTTGAAGAGATACGTTCTCTTTGTACTCCACATTATCTTGTCTGCCTCGCAGTTCTCTTATAATAACATACATACATGGTGAGTCATTTGAATAACTTGGCGCGAAACAAGACTAACAATAAGACATGTCTTAATCAGTTATGCTTCACAATACTCATTATTTTCTATCAACTAATTTTTCCTTCCATGCCTTTAGGATTTGTTCTTTATGAGTTTATTGAACGATATTACTGTTCAGATTTGATTGAATCGAATTTATCTAGCGACTATCATGGTCCGCTGTGTTGTGTGTTGGAAAACTGTTCGTGAGGCTACGGCGAAACGAACAACATCCGCGTTTCACCAAAATGTGATCCTGTTGATGTCATTCGGGTTAGCAGGTCACATGGAGGTACAGCGTGAGCGCAGTCTGTCCGCCCCGTAGGAAAGAAGGAGTATATTTGTCGCCGGCACGTTGTTCATGAACAGGACAGGAAGTTCATGTTCACTTTTCCTTGCTGGAATGGCAATGGTGAAAAATTCAATTCACCGTTTTGAAGATCTTGACGCGCATAGACGTACAGCCTATGCGGTAGATGACGACATCCCACAAGGCTTATTGTCTGCATTGAACAGACTGGCGGAAGTAAGAATTAATTTATGAAGCTATGAGCTCTGGATGGATAACTGGCTACAACCAGGGAGCGGTAGTACACACAGCTCGTCAAACGAGCTCTTTCCTTAACGAAGTTTTTCCTCAAGCGTTTCTACTCAACGGATATGTGGCCAATGAAGGAAGAGGTGGTGAAGTTGTAGATGAAAAGGTACAAGTGCAATCTTATTCATCGAACTATGTGGGTTGGCGTCGGGAAAAGTGAAGATAGGAGTGAAGATGATGCAGGGGAATCAGCACCCGAACTACGTGAGTCGCCAATGGCTGCTTTCATAGTCCGCCGGCCGGCCGGCCGGCCGGCGCGCCGGCGTGCCGGCGTGCCGGCGAGCGTGCCGGCGGAGGCAGTGCTAGCGGGGAGGAGGGAGGCAGACAGATAGGCAAACAGTCCACGCCCCTTCGAGGGGTTGAAAACAAACAACCTTCGAAGGGGCGTGGACTGTTTGCCTTACACTGTCTGCCTCCCTCCTCCCCGTTAGCACTGCCTCCGCCGGCACGCCGGCCGGCCGGCACGCGCGCCGGCACGCCGGCACGCCGGCGGACTATGAAAGCAGCCAATGAGACCTACGTCTATAGAACGCTAGGATTACGAAACGACCTGGGATTCCGGGGGCCGTATGGTATGCTCTCCCGAACAGGGGAGGGTGCCCTCCCCGATAAGGTATGCTCTCGGGGAGAGCTTTTGGGGAGAGGCCACGCCCACTGGTTCGAGGGAAGAACTTCCCGATTAACACGCGATCGGGGCTAGCCGGGGCTACCGTAACTATTGATCGCAGAGTGCGGAATTGTTTGTCGACCGCGCAATTTTCTATGGCTTACGCAACCCCCTGCTGAACATTTTTTGGTTTTCATGCTTTTGGCGACATCCTTTGTAATTATTGTTGATTGGACCATTGATGGTTATTAGGGTGAAACGGTGCCTGATAGTGTACTTCATAAGATGACTTATGAAAAGCGAGAGGTGTACGATGGATTCCTGCCTGTGGTGCAGCATATTTCCTATATACAAGCTGCTGGGATATTTTCAGGCAAGATGGAGTTACTTGATAGTCTTGAGCTAGTCGAGAGGTATGCAACTGCATCTGTGCATAGCACGTTCCGAGACCGAATGCGCCATTATGATTATTTGAGCGACGTGGAGTTCAAAATAGATTATCGCTTCACCCGCCCCGTTTTCAATAACATTTGCCAAATGGCGCAGGACGATCTGCAACGACAGCAAGGAAGGGTGTTTGATCTGTCGCTGGCAGATCAAGTTTCCACTAGCATACACCTGCTTGGAAGAAACGTAATGCAAAGCGATGCGGCAAGAATTGCCGGGTGCCACCAGACCCCTGTGGGAGACGCTTTGTTTGGATTTGTGAGGGCCTTGAATAGAAGGGCAGGCCAATTCATATTTTGGCCTCGAGCAGAAGAGAAGATTGAAATTAGACGCAAATTTTACACCAAGTTTGGCATTCCGCGTGTGACTGGTGTCATTGACGGCACTCACTGCCGAATACAGCGGCCCACCGAAGGAGAAGAAGACTATGTGAATCGAAAGGGGTACCACAGTCTTAATGTAGGCGTTGTGGTCGATTTTGATATGCGAATTAGGGGGGTAAACTCGAAATGGCCGGGATCAGCACACGACTCTCGGGTATTCAGAACGTCAATTTTGTACGACCAGTTGAAGAAGGGTGAGCTTCAAGGAGTTCTCTTGGGGGATTCGTCATATGGTTTAGAGACGCTTCTGCTCAAGATACTAGACTCTACGAAAAACCCGAAAAGTATTCAGTAACTGTCATTGTAATTATTTTGTAACAAGCTGTTTCGTACAGAGGAGAGGTATCAACGAGCTGTATGTCCGCGCGCACTCGAGTCGAGCAGGCTTTTGGAGTGCTCAAACTACAATTTCATATTTTGCATGGGGAGTGCAGGTAACATTAACCGTTATTCGCTCCCCACAGGTGATCACTGTAATCTGTTTTTCTGAAGGTGCTCCCCAAGTAAAGCAGCTGAAATAGTGGTGACTTGCTGCAAACTTCGAAACATAGCAATAGGTGCCAATGAACCTAGTGGTTATGATGAGTATGCAGGGGAGCTTCGGCAGGATGGCGAGGTGCCGTCTGAGCCATCAACAAAGGCCTCCAGCCAAGATGCACTTGTTTTCAGGCAAAACATAATTGATCGTTTCTTCTGAGGTTATTAATATTTATTCATGTTAATGCAATGTACGTTTCCATTAAGATATCCTCATCCACTCTCAACTCACCGTGGACTCGAATGGGTGTTTGAAGTAATGTTACGGCTAATGGCAAATAAGCCAAGTGATGTGGAAAATGATCCCTATCTTCTCATACTATGAATTATTACTCAAGCATCTGTTGGATTTTACTGTTCAAGTTGAACACATTAAACTGTATCCTCATTTTTATTGCCATGTTTTTTTTATAAAGCCACAATAACGATGCATGAATAATATCAGAACTGTACATGGCGGCAGGACCATAGAAGGAAAGAAGTTCAAGTAGTCCGTAAACCCTGGGTATCCTGTGCCGAAAAGACACCTGGCGCGGCTCCAAATCGCAAGGAGCGAGGTGGGAGCCCTAAGGCTAAGGAGGAAGTCTTAGGTGAATGAGCCAGGTACACTGAGACAAAAGTTTGAATATGTGAATCACATGGTCATCAGCCGCCGACAAGGCGAGAGAGCGCAGTCGAGACGTGGACTGAGGCAATTGAAAGGCAGAGTTCAAGTAGTCCGTCAACCTAAGCGACTAGATCGCAAAAAAGGCGACGCTAAGATAACGCAGTAGAGGAGGTTGAAAAACTTCTAGAGATTTTTTTGCTAGGCTTCCAGGATAGTGACTCATCCGGCCCCTAGACTGCGTGCACTTCCCCTGGCTCAAGGGGTCCCGTATATCAAAAAACCTGTGCGGCAGGGGGAGTGTAGGCAGTTTAGGGGGTGGGTGATGAGGGCAGCCACTTGATGCCCCCTTACCGGATGAGACCTCCAGGATATTTTACTTCTAGATATTATGTTATCCTAAACTTAAATCTTGATTTTGGGAGCTTTTGAAGCCTAAATACACGATTTGGCAACTTGTCAACGTTTAAGCGCCATCGCCGCCCTGTATGTCTGACTCCCCTGGGACGCCCCGCGAGCATACCTTACGGCTGCTTTCGGGGACGCCATTCTCGGTTAGACCCGAATCGGGACGTCCCAGCCCCGAGCAGGAGAGCATACTTTACAGCCTCGGGGAGGTAAAAATTATTCTGACTAAAAGAAACATTCATAACAACCACACACTGCGAGGATGAATATTTTCAGAGCTCAGATGATTACATCCCCGTGACGAGTCAGTATGTGGCCCAGCAACTACGTCTTCTCTGACTGAGACTGACGCAGATTTGTTGGGTCAGTAATTTCTCGTCAAAGGTGGAAAGCTCTTGGAGCTCTACCAATTCTGCCCTCGTTCGGGCACAGGCTACCGGGAAGAGTACGCTTGAAGGCTGCTGGCAGGGCGGCGGTTTCAATTTCATGGGTGTAGCGCGGCTGGACAGAAACAATGGGAAAGCCAAGACCGAACGGTTCCCCATCGGTGTGAGCGTGTCTATAAGGGGAAAGTGGAGGCTAGTGTCGACCATCACCACTGGTTTGCAATACCCGGTTAGTAGTCAGTATCTACGGTAATGGAAATACAGAGAGGGTTTTTTGTTTACTTGTTCAGGAATTGGCAAGATGGGCGGAGCAGATGAAATTGGCGATGTTGCGAAAGCTTTTTCAGGAAGAATTTTGTTTGGGCGAAGCCGGCCATAGGTAAAATATATCTCTCGCAGCAGAGCCTTGTTCTAGACCTTGTGAAAAGCGCCTACGAGGTAATATAAGTGGGACTTCAGCTCATATTATCATAAAGTAGGCGAGATTTCATCAAAGTGAGGGGCCGCACCTAGCCGCAGACGGAGCCTACGAGCCGAGAATACTCGGCTTCGATCAGGAAGAATGTGTTGGCGGAGGCGCGTATTAAGCTGGGGCTACATACGGAGGTGTTGCACCGATCAGAGACGGGTACGACGTTTGATGGATTGAATTACAAACAACGATTCTCAATGTAATAAGATTTGCAGAAGGCATCAGTACGCGCATGCAAGTTGAAGGACTGCGGCGACTTATGCGGTGGGTGCAGGCTTAAGGCTTGCGAATCGGATCAGTAACAACCGACCGAAGTAGAGTGCTAGGAGCGACACTGCGAGAGACGGAGCCCGAGATAGGAGTGACTCCCCACTACTACCACAGGTGGCATTTAGCAAAGTGGCTAGGAAATGAATTGAGGAAGTTATGTAAATTTTTCTTGAACAAAACCTGTTGGATTTTACAGGATCCTTTACTTCATAGGCCTCCAAATTAGATGGATGTGGAGGAATCGGCGCGTGATCGAGAATTTGAAAACCCTTGTATGGAATGCCATCGAACACGCAGCCGATTCTAACGCTGACGTTCGGGCCATCTTTAACACTTGTCTCATGCATGTAAAGGATGTGCATGAGTGGTCATTGGTGAACATATTTATCATTCTACTTCCCACGTGGGTTTTCAGCTTCGCAGTTATTTTCAGGACGTCCTGACGGGTCCCTACACTTATTGCAGTCACGGACCGCTACAGAGGTGCCAACAGTTCTAGGACTTTGGCGGTGACATTGGTGAGAAGTGATATCTGGGCACGAAGGCAGCGGAAAATATAAAAACGAAAATTAGATGAAAGGATCGTAAAGTAATAAAGGGTTCCAACCAAGCTTTGTACAACTAATTGAAATCCAACAACTATTTCTTATTATACTTTTGCGAGCCCAGTGTTCACTGTCACAGCAACGCCCACCCATGAAGGATGGACACCATAAAGCCAGAAACCTACCGATTTTTGCACAGTGCTTTATAATCCCCTGAAATTCATAACTCCTATCTCCCTGAACCTAAAGTGTTCAAATTTAGAACGAGTACCGGTGGCAGCGTAAGACAATGGGTGAGAGGAAATGATAAGGATTGATAGGAGCTGATAAGAAACCCAAGAATGCGCCAAAGACGAAATTTGCTATTCGCTGTCATACCAATGAAGTCCTGGCACTTTGGTAGGGGAGACGGGACGAACGTGCGTCCGAGAATGCTGGTGGCAACTTGCGCGGCGAAGTTCGTGATGATTTATACGACTCTGACACCAATTTTCGGGGTACAAACTCGATGTAGAGTAGTTTAGTAAAGTCAGATGATCCTTCTTGTCTACTCAACTTCAAATTTGGGCCCCAATGATGGGCGCCAAAGTCGCTCAAATCGTTACGGACTTCGCCGCGCAATTTGCCGCGCGCATCCTCGGACGCACGTTCGTCCACATACCCCTTTGGTAGGTGGTGTAGGATGTGCAGGGACCGTAAATGATTAAAGACAGGGATGAAACGCAACAGATAGGGACAGATCACAAGCCATTGAAAGCGACAGCCAGGTCTATAATGTCTTTCGTGTTGATGGCGGAGTTTTACCAAATTGGCACGAATGTGAAGGGATTGTAGAGGTTTGGTGAAAAAGACTAGGGACAACTGATATGGACTGATAACAAGCCGCAGACGCTGGAAGCCACCACATAAATAAATAAATAAAACATATATGCATAGTGCCCGTCGTGTTTACAGTGGAGCCTTGGCATTTTGATAGGTGATGTAGGATATGACGGGGTTGTAGACACTCAGTGGCAGGAAATGATAATTAATGATAAGAGCCGATAATGAGAAAGAGCAAGGGTCACTTGCCGGTCAGTTTAAGAGGCCTTTGGTATCTACCATGTAGCTTTCGATAAGAGCGGTGGCGTTTATAGGGACCGAGCAATGACATCACGTACGTGGAGTTGAAAAGTTGGTTCATTTGTTGTTATTAGGCTACAATCTAACATGGTTGGTGACTCAATAAAGGATCACGTTCCCTTTTTGTTTCGATATTATTCGCGACAAAACCTTCCCGACCTCAATAATCTGGGATCTTCAACTAACGATATATCCGTAGGGGAAGGAAGCGTAACGACATTTTATATTGGTCTTATTATCACTCGACATTTGCGTGAACTATTCAAGGCTTTTTGCCTAACAGTTTAATTTTCGATGTGAGATTACTTTTAAGACGAAGAGCAACCGATCAAAACTTCTGATCATAGACGCAAGCATTGACACATACTACTTCATCTGCCCTGTTTTGCCAAGCTCCTCTCCTTTTGAGTCCTACGCCAAAGTTCTTGCCTCTGCAGAATTTAGAGCTCATTGTCAGAAAAGTGACACTTGACAAAAATGGAGTGACAGGTTGACCGATTACTAAAACTTCGCGATAAGAAGGAAGGAAGCCCGGCGCTAGCCGGGCGAACCGATTGTTTAGAAAAAGTCGGTAGGGAAGGATTGAAAAATGAAACATGAATCACAAGTTTATTTCGAAGAAAATGAAAGATGTAAAATGGAGAGCAATTGAGCATGCACGAATCGAACCCAGAATTGATTGACTTTTAACAACAGCCACCGTGTTGAAAATTTTAACTAAATAAAAATCAAACTCGCCCCTAATGTTTCTCTTTCGAACTAGTTCATAAATACAACTGTATGATAAGTCATACGAATAATAAAGTATCCGAAGTCCATGGAGTGTTGGGTGCTCCGGCCTTACTTGTTATTGATCATTCGGTTCGCAACTGCATTAAAACTTTCGGGAGCATTTTCAACTGCCGTAAATACCTGAAAATGTAGATGGCAAGGTGGAGGTGTAAAATAAACTTGAACTAGTCAACACTTGACCGATTATTGATAGTGCAGCAGGTAATATCTGCACTTATGTGGCTTAATGCGCTGGTGTTAGTCACTCTATCAACTCAAGAAGGGTGTAATTGCGTGTTTGCAAGCTCTAACATTGGGGACGAGGTACAGGTAGAGTCTCGATACCCAAAACCCAACGCTTAACTCTTTATATTATTTTCAAAAGGTTCAGCAACATCCCACATCGAATTACTACAACGACATAATATTCTTCGCCTATCAGAAGACCGAGAGTTTATTTTCTCAGCATAGATCAGGTTTTACATATCTTGGTGTTTCATTTTAGAGAGGTAGCCAGTAGACAAGCTAATTACTGCTTTCTTATAGTAGACCCCGACTGAGAAAGACTTCCGCTTTTCAATCGACCATCACAGTGTTAGAACTACTTCACTAGGATGACGAGCTGTGGAGCCATGACTGTATCGAGAAGCTTGTTTCAGCCTGAAGGATTAAGGATAACGTCTTCGGGCTGTGGGTTAACCAATAGCGTCTGAGGGATGCACTCTGCCATTCGACTTCCATTCAGAATTTTGAATGCTGTCTCGAAATACCGGTAATGGTAGTAAAATTCGGTGCAACTCATGGTCTAGACGCTTAACCAAAAGCGAATATGCTTATGGTGAGCCCCTCATCATCAGATTACCCCAGCATACAGTACTGACATCTGCCACTCCTTAGGCATGAGTTGGTCTGGGTTTATATAGGCAAAGTATAATCCAACGTGAGCGATATTGATCGTTTTAACTCATATTCACACAGCTGATTGACAACCCTCATAGGGGAACGGTACATTCGTGCGATTCGAGCTGCGCGCGGCAAATTGCGCGGCGAAGTTCGTGGCCTTCCGAACGGCCCTGGCACCTATTATTGGGGCACAAACTTGAAGTAGAGTAGATTAGTATGGCTGGCTAATCCTAATAATCTACTTTACTGCGAATTTGGGTCCCAATAATAGGCGCTAAATTCGTCAGAATAGCTATGAATTTCGCCGCGCAATTTGCCGCGCGCAGCTCGAATCGCACGAATGTACACACACCCATCCTCATCATCATCCTTCCCCTTTTAGGTTGCTCCTGTTTACCTATGTTTCTTATCGCTCTTTCAAATGTCAAGATGTTTCGCGATGTCGACTTCTTGAAAAGGAAAATAGAGTTCAAAGCAAAAAATGCACAGGGATGGAACAACCTAGACTTGCTTACAATAAGTTTTGTAGTCCCAACGACTGTAACGCAAGGATGCTCGCATTTCTTGGGATGTGGCTATCATGCACAATGAAGAAAACTGTTTCGTTTGTTATACTGCGCATATTTAATCTTTCATCAAATTATCAATTAACAGAAGAAAGATCCAACCGATCACGGGAAGAGAACGGCAGAAGCTTAACATTCGTAGCTTCACTACAAACAACTCTCGCTTGAAAGTTGCTGAACGCAACGCGGAACATCCACTTAAGAATTTATGGTGCGCTGAGTGGCCGCGCATTTCTGCATCGTTTCACGTTTCAATCATTTCGACAATGTCATCGTAGTTCTTCCTGCACCAAACTGTCTACCAACTCAGAGGACTTTTTAAGGTGAAGGAATAAAAGATTGGAACCGAATGTTGTGAAGACTATACCTTATCTATGCCATTGTTCCAGGCCCGTCCAAGATCCGATTGTACATCTTCAACTGATGGCAACTGTAAACTGCAAACTATTGTGGAAAATCGTTCTGCTGCATCGCATTGAAAACACCTGCAGAGATGAATCTATGAAACTTACGTTCTCTGGAAATACTATTGTTCCTGGAAGGATATATTGCTTGAGCTGGTTGTACAGATTAGCTCCCTGAAAGAGAAAAATGCAAACTCCTGCGGAACATGATTATTACTGGTTTATGTATAAGACACTTGCCTCATTGTTATAGATCAATGCAGCCATTCAGTTTGTCCCAAGGTCTTGAAACCGTCTATTAGTACAGAAACTATTTATACCATCTATTATAATAACTATTTTTATCGCGCAATTTAAGCAGCAAATTATACTGGGCTACAATCCCTTTGAAAAACAACGCGCAGAAGAGATGCTGTTCTCGAGGGAAGTCCAACAATGGTGCAGTCTTTGCGCTCCTCCATTCGACGCTCGATTTCTTCTCACCGTTATTCTTCCCCGGAGTGAACATTGTGAGCACCACCTCGACATTTTCTTGCCACCGTTCTTACTCGCTTAAACACTACCACCAGCTCTCCGACATGGTATCCAGCTTGTGATTAATTTGAGTGGAGCGTTGTCTTCTTTTCAAGACGACCCAAATGAAAATTCCATTGACTTTGTCCACTCATATTAGTGAGACGACCTAATTGTAAGGACATATACCATTATACCTAAGGATCTCCTTCACTGAGGGTTCTCTTCCACTGAAGGATCCCAGCCGATTAATGACCAGGCTGCGTAGGGCTTCCCCAGGTGGCGGTTAGGGGAGTAAATCGCCGACCAGAAGTAGCCAGTACTTGTTCAGAGACGCAGGTGATCCCTGATTCTGCTGTGCTGATCGATATACCCCCTGTTTCTCACAGGACGCTTGCATCGGAAGCGTGTATAAAAGATACGTGCGTGGAGTCTGCGGGTGCAGCCGGCATCTTATCCATCTTCCCAGCCAAAAGCTTGCATTCGAGCGACTGGGAAGTATCTGGATAAGGATTCGGGGCTGCCTTCAGAAACAAAGCTCCTCTTCCACTTCGGAACCGCTTGGATAACATCCGGATCAATCCAGCCCCCATGTTAGAGTCTGGCGGACTACACATTGAGTACCCATTTGCCAAAAACAGTAACATGAATGGGCCTCGCTCCTCTGAACCTGAGAGCGCACCCAATATGGCAGCGTTGGATAGGACGCTCGGAAAAGGCTGCCAAAATCTCATGGCCAAAACAGGTTGACCAAAAGGAGGACCAAGATAGCGATCTGTACTTACAACGCACGGACGCTTTCATCGGAAGCGTGTATAAAAGACTTGATGATGCAAGCTAGGAAGATCAAGTACGACGGACGTCATCGGACTGACCGAGACAAGAAGGCCCCGCCCGCTGCACGCAGTATTTGGGACTGCAAGAAAACTGTTCCTTGGAGCATGCGACAGCAGAGGCGTCGGCGGCGTAGGTGTCCTCGTCAATGGGCACTTAGCTATGAACCTCGATTTGTACGAACCTAACAACCCGAATCGGACGTTTGCGATTTAGAAGATGAGGCTCACCTTCGGCTTTAACAATCTCCGTTGCTTATGCATCAACATCAAACTACGAAGAAAAGGAGTTGGAAGCGTTATATGGATCTGGAGAGGCTCCAGAGAGAAGACCATTCTTCCTTCAAGGACATCGTAGGTGATTTTAAGGCCAAGATTGGTCCCAGAAGAACGGCTGAAGAGCTCCACATCAGGACTAAGGGAATGGAATGGGATGATCAGGGTGAAAGGCTGTCCAAGTTTATCATGTCAACCCACCATCCTCACAATTCCAAAAGCCCTCTCATTTGCGATGGACTTAGGAGTCATCTGGCGGGCAGATCCATAACGAAATAGTTCACATCACCTTTAATCGAGGGTTTTGCGTGACTGATATCGCTGTTGTTCCGAATTTCTACACGGGATCGGATCACCGTCTCTCCGCAGAGATTCTGTTTCTTAGACAGGGGAGAGAGAGCTATAAAGTTTTACAAACGAAGCCCCATGACCTTCATCACTTGTAATCACTTCGCTCTCCTTGCGAGTGAATGGGAAGATTCCGTTATCTACAACATCGATGAAGGGTCTAACCGGCTCGTCGAACATCTTCACTATAGTGCTACGAAAGCAGAGAGTCTACAAGTAGCCAAGAGACGAATCTCCTCGAAGACTTTCGAGCTGACACACGCGAGCGCGGAATCGCGCGAGGTGCAGGCAATCATCAACAAACGACCGAACTTGCGAAGCTATGCAGAGAAGCGATAAAGGAAGATCTGAAAGAGGGAAGAGCAGCAGTTCTGGACGAAGCTTCCGAGGCAGGCCGGAAAGAACATTCGCAAGGCCCCCGTAAATGTTTTCAAACGTTGATGTCAAATCTGCGAAACAGCTCTATAGCGAATTAATGGAATTGTTTCGAATGTGGGGCACTTCGAAAGCGATTTTTGAATCAACCTATGTCTTGCTTTGATGATATCCTCAGTGGAACCTGGCTTGCGATTATCAAAGTATCCGGTGGATGTCGTCGGTAGTCAGAATACCGTACTTATTCTTGCTATATTTCTTCTTTCGTCTTGTCCCTCAACTTCCATAAGTGATTCGGTAAAAAAGTACGATAATTGTTCTGCATTCACGAAAGAGTGCGGTTTTTGGCACTTAAACGATAAAAAAAGCTGCGGCTTTTTCTACATATAACATAAAAATGAAGCTTATGGATAGAATTAATGAACTGAGAGCGACTTTGTTCTTTGAAGGCTCACATAGTCAGGTGTTCAACTGTATCGCAGGAACCAAAGAACTCAAATAAATTAACAATAACCTCAGCAGAACATGCACTAGTCATGCATATGCTGAGAAGCGCTCTGATTCAATCAACGACGCGATATCTTTCTGACGAAAGCAACACAAACCGCTCATAATTATGCAAGCATATTTTGAGCTAATTTTTCGAGTTTGCCTCTTTTAGAATCGAGCTGCACCGTCAATCGGCCGATAGAGAACAAAAAACTTTTCTCAAAATCGATATGGAGTGGGCGTTAAGGAGGCACAGCCGTAGATAACCAATATGAAACGTCACAAGCGCTTGAAACTTGTTTGAGATAACGCAAAATGAGCATAGGAATCAAACTCCCATGTCATCCCTAGGAGTCCAACACCTTAATGCAAAAAAAAAACGCTTGCAACTCTGTGAGAATAGCTTTTTGGCTTTTTTTGAAAGTGCAATCGCGTTGAACTTACACTTGTAGTATTCAGAGACCAAATATTGTTGTCAATTGAGAGCTTAACGGCTCCCGCAACGAGTGCCACCTTAATTGAAAACCTGCAAAATTATTTAACATTGATTTGGCAATATTTAAGATAATAAAAAGGTACTTAACGAACTTCGACACACTCCAAAGAAAGCCCATGATCGAAAAGAGTCAGTAGCTACAGTCGAGTTGTGCAACGAATAGCGATCTCTGCAAACATAAGAGAACTTGTTAGTTGAGCGATAGTTTGTTGGCCACCACTTTTATTCACAGTTGGAGGAAATTGGTGAAATATCAATGAAAGAATTGTCAGGGAAGGGACAAGGGCACTCTTATCGTACTCTAGTTCTCATAATCATACGTATCCCACTGGCATTCCATTTCCCAAAAAACTTTTTGTACAGGTGAGGAGCTCAACCACCGCGATGCCACATTTACCTTGGACATAAGTCAAAACTCTAATCAACGCAACTGATATATCGCTTTTCCTGTAACTCGAGGCTCACTTAGTTGATGTCCTTCAAGTAGCTGCCCTTCAGCCCTCAGCGTTAGAGAATCAAAACATGAAATAGTGGTATTTGCTCAAGGTCTTTTCTCAGGAAAGAAAACCTGAGAAAAAAATCTCTCAGGAAGGCAGAAAACCACGAAAATAAACATAAACAGTACTCTACCAACCGCAGAGAAAATAAGCAACATAAATGAGATATACCAGCAAACCAATAAGCTCAATTTCTAGCAGCTATGCGACATAACTCTACAGGCGTGAAGTATGTTGTAACCGTAGTGTAGCCTTTCCTCCTACAACGGAATGTACGCCAGTTGCGCTGAAGAGACGAGGTTGGTGAGCATATATCGTTTTCAAGGGTGCTTGCAGATATCGCCATTATTATATATCGTCCCAATGATGGTAATTTTACTTATTGGGTGCTCTACCACCCCTATTCGTTCCGGTCGCATCATTGTAGAGGTACACGAAGCAATCATTGCTTGTACGGGAGCTTTCGGGAAGAGCTGTAGCTGTAAAAGCCAGTAACCGCCATTGTTTGAGGTCCCTACTAAAGTGAATGTCGTTCACCTAATTTTCGAACCCTCGACGAGTTCAACAGCGTCCCCTAGGTGGGTCGACTTAACTGTCACCAGATGTCCTTCTGCATTGCAGGTGCTGGAAAACTCTGAGCATTTAATGTTTCACAGCAGGTTTAATGGTCATGTGCTTATCCTGCTTGTACGGAGTACACTATCTAAAGGAAGTCTAAGTTGTGTTATACCGCGGAATAGCAAGGGTGTGGAACTGGATATCATTTGCTTCCACCAGTGCTATTTCGATGTCGATGTTCTCAGGGCGCTCGCTTCCTTGTGCTCAACTCCAGAGCACCATGGTATTCTACCACCTGAAAGGCTGGTATAGTCTGCAAAGTGAAGGCAGTGTATTTATGGTTAGCTATCGATCTTCGTTATCCTGTATCGAAATGACGCATGACTTTTTCTATAGCGGTAGTGCGTAGTTTGGGATGTATGGTACAGCCCTTCTCAAACTTCTCACAGAAGGTCATAACAACATTCCTCGGAAGTGGTGGCATTCTGGTAGTGTTTAGTGCTCCATTCATTACCCGTTCTGAAGGCAGCTTTGATGACCCTCGCAAACTGCATTCCTCTGATCAGGGATGGGTCAGAACGCGGAGACATATTTCTCGCAAAGAGCAATGTGTCTCCGTGTTCTGTTAGAGTGGGGGCGGGGGTGGGGTTGTTGGGGAGTTGACGTATGTAGTTGAGCTTGTTACTGGTTCAGGGACTGATTTACTGATAAGCCGTTTGGCCCTTGCGTGAATAAAAAGTGGTCGCTGCGAATGATGCATGTTACGTAACCGTGTTGCTAGGATACACATTCGAGAATAGGCACCCGTTATTTCGGTAGGGCAATATTGTTGGATGACAACGAAAAAAAATGGACATTGTGATACGGTCGTCGGGAAAACCTTCAAATATCGTCTGTTCGTATGAGAGGTTCTGGGATGAAAAGACATGATGGGATCGCGTAAGTGGCTTCCGCGCGGTAAGTAGGTGTAGCAAAAACAAAACAACGTTGTACCAAAGGCATTTGTACGGGTCATGGAAGCCTGTTAATGGGAACAACTGTTTTAAGGGGACTAGAGCGCCTGGGATCTAATGTACTGTTTAGATGGAGATGTGTTATTCTGAAGCGAGCGGTGCTCGCTGCAGTCGCGCTAGGAAGGGAAGATTCGTATTCCTCGTAGAAGAAACGGTAATTGCCACGAAACCATTTCCACTCTTGTTTTGGGAAATCGGATATAGTGATGGCAACCCGCCTGTCCGCCCCATCGTGCATCCATCTGATAGGGAACGAGGCCATCATGCATTACACACCGAGGGAGGTTTTCACATATTGATTGCTTCTCGGGGAAGTCGTTACAATGGCTGTTTTCAGAGTCCGCCGGCGAGTGCAGGCGGGTGCCGGCCGGCCGCCGGACTCTGAAGGCAGGCAATGGCGACGTCGTCGTTGTTGCAGGTGCCGGTGTGCAATTGGGCAATAATCTGCTTTAAACTGAGCGAAAATCAAAGTCACTTCCACGTACAGCTTTCTATGAGCCTTGGCATAATTTTATTTTTTTTTAGGGAAGGATCCCAAGTCGAAGTGACCATTTGAAATGAGACCTATACTGTTAGACGTATTTTTTGATGCTGATTTCAAATCTGCATTCAAAATCTGCCAAACGATTCTCGGAACGAAGTTATGAAGGTGGTCTCCGGAGAGCGCTCAACAGG